GAAAGTTTTCAGATTCTTCAGTATTTCCAAAGTATAACTCTAATAATTCAAGTGGCATTTTATGAGATGTCAACCTTATTGTACCACTGTTACAGCAAAATCCTGGAGGTTTATATTCAAATCTCTTTGCACGACAGTATTAGCAGTGCAGAACGTTTTTTATAGCAACATAGTCACTTCGTTGCTCTTTAGCAGCCAGACACACCTTTTTGGTCCGGCGATGAACTGAATATATAAGAAGTATCATTAAAAAATGAAATACGAAGGCATACGTATGGTGGACATTATTATAATATAAAGTTTATGCAAACCTTTGATTAGAACAGCGTTCAAGGAAACAGGAGGCAGTTTAGATGCCCAACGTGGACCCTTATATACAAATAATCACAAATTATAGTAATGTACAAACAATATGTTATTCTCAAAGAAAATATAATCTAAAGGCAGGTTTACCTGTTTCACGAATGATAGGGGGATCCAATATAGACTTTTCTTTTTTTAGATTATCCATCACTGTATTCGTGCAAGTTTGAAGACTGGCAGCTAGTAAAAAGCATAGTCAAGACGTTTAAAAGCGTATAGTGAAGTCGTAGTAGATGCAAAATAAAGTGTAAAACATCATGTGGTATTTTTGTATTTTAGTTTGTAGGCACATATAAGATAAGTAATATATCACACTCAATCTCCAAGAAAAATTAAGAAGCATCCTTGTCCTAATAATATATAGTGTATAAACATGAGTACAACAATATAACCTTTTTAACGAAGAGAAGAATATGGTTACATGTTCCACAAATGATAGGGGTATCCAATATACTCTTTCCTTTTTCTAAATTATCACGTAATGTAGTCATGCAAGCTTGATGGTTGGTACCTGGTAACACAACAATGAAGGCGTTTAAAAGCGTACAGTGAAGCTTCAACAGGTGCTAAATAGAGTGCAATAGAGCACGTACTATTTGAGTATTTTAGCTTGTAAGCACATAAGATAAATAAGGTATTATACTAAGTTTCCAAGCAAAATACATAAGAACCATTGTATTAATAACATATGGTTTCTAAATATGAGTATAACAATCTAACATTTTTCCGCAAGGGAAGGAGGTTCTCGTATGGTAAGAGCAGTTTGTTTTAGAAATCTTGTTTTTCCCAAGATGATGTTGCCTACTTTGGGACAACAACAATCGGACTTTCAAGAAGGTTGTGCTTTGCAAAATTTTGTCTTCTTATACGTCGTGATAACAAAATTGCTTCCCTTCTACGAGCAGATATTTGGCTCTGCGTATCACGCCGTTTGAGTTGCATTGCAGCCTTCCTTTTTTCTGCGTATAAGTACTTGTTTGGTCTTTAGAATCCATCATTTTATGGCAGTTCAATTTTCCTTTTCACCTATAAATATTTCCAGCAGAAGTTCTCATAAGATGTTTAGAAAAGACATAGATTATATTTTAATATCACGGAACACAATATCTATTAAATATTCTATCTAGGAGACCTAAAAAATGGCATACTAATCACTGAGAGTTCATGTCTCAGAGACATGTCATACATCACTGACAAATAAATTAGCTTTGTATTAATTTGTATATCCTTAAAAATCCTCATTAATGATTTTGGTTGTGAAATCATCCTAGTAAATCCAGCAAAGCATATCATTCATTTCAACATCTTATTATCTTATTATTGTTATTATACCTAATACCAGCCTGAATCCTTGTCCAGTATAGTCATTATAAGTATATGTGTACTTTGTTATTGTACAAACAAGGTAAAAAATATTGTTATTTAAAATTTTGTAGCTACTTGGAGCAAATAGAACAATCTCCTTAGCAGTGAATATATTTTTATCTAATCAATTAGGTATAATGTTTGTGCAACCATTGTTCAGTATGATCATCATACACATTGTATGATGCAAGTTACAATCTCACAGAATACAAACTGTGGTAAATTAAATTCGACTTCAATGTATGAAAGCTACAGAAATATTTGGACAAGAGAAATCAGTGTTTCTGGACTTCACCACTCAACCTTATTTCACTAAGGTAATTCTATTGATCAAAATTAGCTTATTAATCTATCTTTTTGTTTTGGATGTATAGTGCAAAGGTTTAGCTTTTTTTTCGACTTTTGGAAAAAAGAGGTACAAATTAAACCAAAAATACATTAGTGCCCCCTAAATGCTAACCAGACATCTCCGCGTTAAAGAACACACATAAGATAGATTTTGGATTAGCACCTGAACACAAATTCCCAACGTTCTTGAAATATGATAATTTTTGCAGTAGCATTTCATATGAAAATTTGAAACAAAATCAAACCTTTAAAGTAAGAACTGAGTGAAATAAAACAAACTACTATTGAAAAGAGACAATGATAATCATCTATGAACGACAAAAAAGTGTTTGCCATAATAAAGTTGCAACGTTTATCAGCTTTAAAAAAGCTTGCAAAAAGTGAAGATTATACTTTAGCCTTTGAAAGACCCAGGTTGACATAGGAGAGAGCAAATAATTGCTACAAAGTCTTCTTATACTACATTTTCAATTGTTTCGATCAAATAAAGCCACGGTAACTCTTTAATGTTGAGGCTACTATGCACCAACCAAAAAAAATATATTGATGCCAGAAATCAGTTAGAAGAAGAATATGAATAATACCAAGAGGCACTTTACGCTTGCTAATAGCGACTTTGAACAATTTGTTCAGCTCTTTCTCTTTGGCTTTAGAATTATGATTAATGTTGTGCCCTTTCATATTGAGCCCATAAAACAAATCTACATATATATATATATATATATATATATATATATATATATTTAATTCAGGAAAGAATCCAACTTTAGACTTTGCGTTTATATAAGCAGGCAGGGGTTAATCCTTTTGCTGCTAATTCTTCATTCTAGCAGTCAACTCTCTCTCCTCTAGTTATGCTTTCATTTGCTACTTCTGTTTATCTTCTTAGTTGATTTAAAGCGTTGGGCATATATGTTGAAAAATTCTGAGTGCATAAAATAAATATATGCATGTAACCTATAGGAAAGCGAGAATAATGTTTCATCAAAAATTAATTTTTTTCCTTTCTATGTCCTACGTCAAGAATTCAAGATACTATCATACCCAAATAGCTATTTAGTAGCTTATACTGCTAAAACAACATCTTCTTCTACTCGTTCTAAGCATCCTCTTCTATGTAAGTGAAATAAGAAGACTTTGAAAATATCTATCGACTTTAACAGATTCAACAGCTAATCAATGTGAACAAAAAAATAAACTCTATTGAAATTTCTCTCCTTTTTGAGAAAAAGATACAAGGCATAGATAGTTTAGTTCAATTTGTACTATCTAATTGAAATCAAAAGCAGTTGTTAGCATTTTATCGTAGGTTTCCCCAACTATTTCACACTCGAGAAATTAAACCCAAAACAATAGCAAAAATCTAAAAAAAAATGCCTAATTCATTCAAGAATTGCCTCAAACACCTAAAGAGCAGAATCGACGGATAGATTAAACTCTTTGAGTAATAAAGCCCTAGCATGCCATAAAAATTAAATAGAGAAACATGGGCGAAAAAGAAGAGGAGGAAAACTCACAAGAAACAACGATCCAAACGGGAAAATTCACAAAAGTGCAAAGATAAGATCAACAAAGCTTTTCTAATAATGGTAATACTGAATTTGCAATAAACTGGATGTTAACCTTTTGATACAAATAACCTGCATCTGCCAAGTATCTTAAACAGCTGCCTTCCTAGTATAGATAAGAACAAGAAGAGTAAGAAGAGAGAAGCGAAAGAAGAGCCTGTAGAGTGTTGATCGATATAATCCAAGTGAAACATTAAAAATTAGATGAAAAGACAAAATTATCCTTGAAGTGTGACGCATGCATATCGTCCAGGTGTGTGCTAAGTCCTTCTATTATATAGGAGAAAATAGAAAAAAAAATATGGAAACATAAGCTAGACTTGGATTAATGATTAATTAGAAAACCAATTATCTAGAAAATATAGGGTATATAATAAAAATTAGAGGAGATCTGAAATGGTGTGTTTAATGACCAATCATGTAATTTCACGGGTGAAAGGTGAGGCCAGAGTAAAAGCCATCCTCTTGTACCTCCAATAGTATTCATAACGGTCGTTGTTAACGATTCCGTTTTCTATAAGTTCACAATTTCTTCAAACTTTTGCGATAAACATCAAATGTATTCTCCTTTTCGTCCCACCAAAAATGACGAAAGAACAACGTACCACTAAAAAAATGTTCATGAAAAGTCCAATTGTTGTTAATTTGCAGAAATCATATGATACACTAAAATTAAATCGTCATCTTTGGATTGGTATTTCTAAAGGACTGTTGGGAGTCTAGAGATAGGCTGAAACAGATGTGGCCCAGGCCCATTTATTATTTATTTATCTGTATTAGATAGGTCCATTAACTTTTCGTTCTTTATATATATTGGGCCATGTATATATACAGAGGGACCCAGTTGTAATAAACAGATTGGGCATTTATTTTCCGTTCTTTCATCAATAAGAAAGGTCTCAAACCTTCTCTCTATCTTTCCCTAATACCAAATTCTTTCATGTCCAATCTATGAAAATGATGAACATTAACATGGTATTAGAGCACATATCCGTACTCGTCTAGTGTTACGCTTCCGATCGATCTTACCCTCTCCAGTTTTCTTTGAGTTTTTCAAAGTTCAACAGTATTCGTCGATTTAGTGGTCTTTTCGGTTGATTTTTTGTGTTTTCGGGGGGTTTTATATGCGAGATGGAGTTTTTTGGTATCTAGGCTGAAGGATTCGTGGCTATTCTTCAGGATCTGAGTGTGTTCGAGCTAGGGTTTCCTGCTCCATTTTTCTTATCATTGAAGGCTGTTCTCTTTTCGGTTGCGAAATAGACTGATATACTTGTTCTATTTTCTTTATTCTGGTGATATACTTGCTCTTACTTTCATTACTTTAGCTAATTGTTACTCTGTTTGTCAATATGACGAATGGTAATTCTGATCCTACTTAAACCCCTGCTTCTTCTGCTGGTTCGCGTACTGTGTTTCATGAGGATGATTATACCCATCCCTGTCACCCCTGGTATGTTCATCCTTCTAATGTACTTGGGACCTCTCTTGTGTCCACTCTTTTTGATGGAACCTGTTATGGTAGTTGGAGAAGCACTGTATTAGTTGTTTTGTCTATTAGAAATAAAACTGATTTTATAACTGGTACTACTGGAGTACCTCCTAATGGATCACCCTTAGCTAGACAATGGCAGAGATGCAATGATCTTGTGATATCTTGGCTAATAAACTCTTTGTCTAAAGACATTGCTCGAAGTGTAGAGTATTCCGTATTTGCTAAGGATATATGGAATGAATTAGAAGAGAGATATGGTAAGGCTGGTGGTGCTAGGATTTTTGAGTTGAAAAAAGATTTGGCTCATATCTCTCAAGGGTCACATGATATAGCATCTTATTTCAACAAAATAAAACAGTTGTGGGATGAAATTGCCTCCATCTCAACTGGTAGAGAAGGGGTTTATACCTGTGGAGCCAAATCAACTGAGGATGAGGAACAAAGAGCTTATCAATTTCTCATGGGTCTAAATGAAATTATGTTCAGACCAGGAGTAACATTTTAATGATGAATCCTCGTCCTTCTGTGGGTACAGTTTACAATATTCTTTTGTCTGATGAGAAGCAGAGGCAGGTATCTGCTGGGACTCAGTCTTCCTCTAATTCTGCTTCCTTCACTGCTGGTGTATTGAACTCTACATCAACTCCTTCAAATACTGCTGCGTCAAAGCCTAACTTCTCTTCTAAAGTAACTTTTGAGTCTACTAGGTCTTCTGGGGTGTGCAAGTATTGCAAAAAATCTAGTCATAGCATTTACAGGTGTTATAAGATGCATGGCTTTCCCCCAAATTTCAGATCTGCAAAGAATTTGGGGCCTAAAGATCAACTGATCATGTTGAGCTTGCTTGGGGTCCATATTCTACACCTACCTGTACTGGCTCTAGGTACTTTCCAACCATTATTGATGACTACACTAGACCCACTTGGACTCATTTAATGAGTGCCAAGAGCAATGCTTGTGACCTTCTCAAAGGATTTATTGTCATGGTTGAGACTCACTTCCAGTCAATAGTCCAAACTGTTAGAAGTGATAATGTAACGACTCGACTCGTCGTTTTAGGAATTAATGCCCCGTTCAGTGACTTAAGGTTTCGAGTATCTTCGTAATATATATTATGACTCGCGTGTGTGGTCGAGTTTAGTTTTCGGAAGATTTAGAATTTAATTTAAAGAAAAATTCTCATTTTGGAGCTTAAATAGAAAGTGTTGACCAGAGAGTTGACTTTTGAGCAAACGACCTCGGAATGGAGATTTGATGATGTCAATAGCTTCATATGGTGATTTCGGACTTAGGTGTATGTTCGGATTTGGATTTGGAAGTCCGTAGGACAATTCGACGCATTTTGGCGAAAGTTGGAAAATAGGAGATTTTTGAAAAATTCGACCGAAGGTTGAAATTTTGATAACAAGGTCGGATTTCGATTCCGGAAATTGAAACAACTTCGTTACGTCATTTATGACTCGCGTGCAAAATTTGAATTGATTCCGGATTGATTTGATGTGTTTCAGCTAAAAAATATAGAAGTTGGAAAATTGAAAACTCATAATTCGATTCATGGAGCGATTCAAGATTTTAGTCTTGTTTAACGTGGTTTAAAGCCTCGACTAAGTTGGTATTGTATTTTGGGACATGTTGGTATTTTTTTTGAAGTCTCGAGGGCTTTGGGTGGATTTCGGAAGGTTAACGGAGTCGATTTTTGGATGAGATTGCTGCTGAAATTTGCTGCTGTTTCTGGGCAGCTACTGGTTCATCGCAGAAACGCCATCGCAGGAGCGAGCAGCACTTTGCAGAAGAGATGGACATGAAGCTGGACAGGTCTGGACGTTGAGCGCAGGAGCGGAACAATGGTGCGCACCTGCGACATCGCAGGTGCCATGGTTGGCAGCGCAGAAGCGAAATGAAACGTAGCAGCGTGCAAATGGCCACACCTGCGATTCTCGCAGAAGCGACATTCTGCTCGCAGGTGCGATCTTCTGTTGGGCAGTGTGGCTACTGCAGCATGCTTATTAATTATCTAGCAAACACATTAGCTTCCCAGGAGCTATGCCTTCTGTGATTTGAACAGCAATCATTCTCCAGATGGAATTAAAAGAAAATGCCGACCAAAAGATCAAGTTTTCATAAATACTACACTGCATTTTTTATTTACTCTAACATCTTTATAGATCTCTTATTCTGAATCTCATAAAGGGTACTCTATCTCCCATGGTAGGCAATTTATAGATACTAGAACTAGAGTGCTTGCAAGGTCACGTTTTTGAACAATGGCAAAGTTTTGCATAAAACTGGACTATTTTCACTAAACTGTCCAGAGGCTATTCCACATTGTTTGAGGCTCTGACACCGAAGTAAGGCAGCTGATAACTTGAGCTCTCTTCTTGTGCCGTGGGGCTTCGCATATGCGCATTTTATCTCTCAGAATCGAGTCTGCAAATGCGACCAACTTATCCGCAGAAGCGGAAAAGGACAGAAACATTTAAGGACCAAACTCAGTCATTTCTTCATTTTCGATTGGATTTTTGGAACTCGGTTCTTTGGCGATTTTGAGGATTTCTTCATGATTTCAACTCAAATAAGTGTGCTATACTTGAAAGTGTTTATATTCCATAATTGCATGGCTATTTTCATCGTTTAATTCGGATTTAAATAGAAGAAATCAAGATTTTTGCAAAATCTTCCAAAAATAAAAATTTAAAATTTGGAGGTCGAGTTGTTATCGGATTGGATAAAATTGGTATGGTTGAACTTGTATCGGAATGGGTGTTTGGATTTCATTAAAATTATGTTGGGTTCCGAGAGGCGGGTCCTGCATAGACTTTTGGTTGACTTTTTAGAATAAAATTTTAAGTCGACGTTATATTATCCGGAATTGTTTCCGATGAATTTTAATGAAGTTATACACCTAATTTGGATGGATTTGAGCTATCCGGAGGTCGATTCAAACAAGGAGACGATTTTGGAATATCGGTCTAACTTAAAAAAGGTAAGTATCTTGCCTAACCTTGAGCGGGGGAATTACTACTTAGGCATTGAGTCCTATGTGGAAATTGTGTGAATGAAAACTATGTACGCGAGGTGACGAGTACATACTTGGTTTATATGTGCAAATTATATCGGTTAAATTTCATAGACACTCTTATGTATTAATGTGAAAAATTGTTGGAACTCAGTAAATCCTCGATTTGTCATGCCTCATTCCTTGTTTGTCGAGTTTGTATTTATATGATAACTTGGTGTAAATTTTCATTTGGATTTTCATGTGAGTTTCGTGTGTTTTGTTGATTTGATATTTCTTGGAAATAATTATACTTAGGATTTTCCATCTACAAACAATTAATTAAGTAAGTTAAAATTGAGGTATTAATATATTTAATGAAAAATTGGATTAAAGAAGGCGTCATCTTATGCGAAGTTAATTTTCTATCTTTGTTATTGTTATCGAGGTTTTATATACTTTGTGTGGAGCCTTGGGTTATTTGCTGTGAAATTAATTAATTTTGTTGTATCTTTGGAATTGGTTGTGGCCCATGTGTAATTTATAATATGAATTGGTGTTTTGTGTTGCCGTGGTAATATCTATGTAAATTGTTGTGTGAATTGGGTTACAGTTATGTGGCGGATAAGGGTGACATTCCACTGTTGATATTATGTGGGTATAAGGGTGGCATTTCACTGTGGTTATGTATTGGGATATTGTCTGGGCGGAGCGTTTAGGGAGGCTAATATAGGAGCGATAATGGTGGCTATTATAGGAGTGATAAAGGTGGCTATAAGAGAGAGTAAGGGTGGCTATTGTCATGGATGATATTTGGTGATGTGGGGATATTGTGTTGGTGATTTTTATGTGATGTTGTGATTTTCTAGTGATTATTTTTATGTATTGTGCAATTTATTTTATAAATTCAGTAAATTTGAGAATAGTCATATATATGTTTAAATTGTGAGCCTGTGGATAATTGCCGGGTGGATTATGATATGGACACGAGGTGCTGGGGATAAACGATGAATTTATTATTGGTACATGAATTGTTCGTACAATTATGATATGAAATATGGGCACGATGTGTCGTGGTTATATAATGAAAATGAAATTGGCACGTGAACTGTCTGTGCGGTCGCGATATGAAATGTGGGCACGAGGTGCCGTGAGTAAATGATGATGATGCTGGCACATGAATTGTCCATGTGGTTGTGATAGAAATATTGGTATGAGGTGTCATAGAAATATGAAAATGGGCTGAGACCCGTATTTTTATGATTTTGGAATGAGGTGTCACATGGTGACTTTTATTTGAAAGAATTATATTTGAAAAATATTATTTAAAAGAATTATATTTGAAAGATATTAGTTTGAAAGAATTATATTCGAAAGATAGTTATTTGAAAGAACTATATTAGAAAGGTATTTACTTGAAGGAATTGTATTCGAATGATGGTTATTTGAAAGAAATATATTTACTTGAAGGAAGTATATTCGAAATATATTTGTTGGAAGGTATTATATCCTAAAGATTTCTATTGGGAAATTTATAGGCTAAAGATTTATATTTGAAGGACTTGATTAATTGGTCGTACTTGTATTCATTATTTGCTGAGAAATATTTATGGAGTTCTTGTTGCCCCTGTTGTTTATATCACTGGTTGATTATTGTTTTCTTCATTGTTATTGTTTCTTATTATTTTTATAAGCTATACTGCACATGTTATTAGACTAGTGAGTGTCTTGATTGTACCCCATCACTACTCCACTGAGGTTAGTCTTAATACTTACTGGGTACCGCTGTGGTGTATTCATACTACACTTCTGCACATTTTTGTACAGAGCCAGGTATTGGAGATATCAGACTCGGACAGAGTTAGAGTGTGATCGCAAGGATTCAAGGTAGAGTTGCTTGGTCGTCGTAGTCCCTTGGAGTCTTTCCCTTTTATCATACTATCAATTATTATTCGAGCAGTATTGTATATTTAATTTCCTTTAGATCATTTCATATATTCAGTTAGAGTTTGTGTGACGACCTTGCCAGTCGTCTCATGAGTTACCGCTCCATTTTCTCTATTTCTGCTTCTTTATGCTTTGTTTATCCATGTTATGTGGTATCGGGTTAGTCGGATCGAGTTCGAAAATGATTTGGTAAGGTTGGAGACACTTAGTCTCTTCCAAGAAAGCTTAAGTTGGAAAAGTCAATCGAATGTTGACCTATGTGTTAGAGGGCTCGGAAGTGAATTCCGATGGTTCGGTTAGCTTCAGGAGGTGATTTATGACTTAGGAGTGTGATCAGAATGAGTTTTGGAGGTTCGAAGTAGATTTAGGCTTGAATTAGCGAAGTTGATATTTTGGCGATTTCCAGTTGGTAGGTGAGATTTTGATACAGGGGTCAGAATGGAATTTTGAGAGTTGTAGTAGCTCCGTTGTGTCATTTGCGATGTGTGTGCAAAATTTCAGGTCATGCGGACGTGGTTTGGTTTTGTTTTTGATAAAAAAAGATTGAGTTTAATCTTACTATG